AGGATCTCACGCCCACAAGCAAGAAGATCCCGAACCCTAAACCCGAGAACAAGTGATGGCTGGCAACCCCCTAAACCCTAAACCCAAAACAGTAAACCCTAAACCCTAAAACCCTAAAACCCTAAAACCCCAGAACCCAAAAACCCTATAAAGCCCTAAAGCCCTAAAACCCAAAAACCCTAAAACCCTGAAACCCTGGGCCTTGAAAGCCCACTACAGTAAACCCCAGGCCTCTCCAAATCCGCATGCAGACTCAGCTCCGTCGGATTGCCGAGGGTCTGTGCCGCCGACCCTTGCGGGACAGGGTTCAGGGCTTAAGGGTTTAGGGTCTAAGGAATTAGGGCTTAGGGTTTAGGGGCTTAGGGCTTAGGGTTGAGGGGTTTAGGGTTTAGGGGTTTAGGGTTTAAGGGCTTAGGGGTTTAGGGTTTGGGGGCTTTGGGTTAAGGGCTTAGGGTTTAGGCGTTTAGGGGTTTGGGGGTTTAGGGGTTTAGGGTTTAGGGTTTAGGGGACACACTTGTTCATCGACATTTTGACTTGGGGATCGATTAGGGTTTAGGGCTTAGGAATCTATAGGGGCCAAGTGTTGAGGGCTTTGTTGGACTTTTGGCTTCGACGGGATTTATGGGGCTTACCTGCCGGTTTACCATAATTAGGGGTTAGAATGAGAGTTACTGTTGGTTGAAAACAGCCCTTGTGGGAACCCTTCTAAATCCCTCGCTGCCAAGATGCCCAGCTTGTTGAGCCTGTCACCTGTCTTCGTAAATGCCCCGCAGGCAGAGATGACACCAAGCAGTAGTGCGGCACCCATCGCCACCTGAGTCTTTTGAGGTTCAGGGCTTTGGAGTTTACAGCTTTAGGGCTTTATGGCTTGGGGCTATACTACCCATCGCCACGAGTCGTGCTTGGAGGTACCACTCCCTTTGCTGGTGCAGCTGTTGATGACGGATGCTGTAAGTTGCCTCACGACGCTGAAACTGCATCGCTGTTCTGCTGTGTATAGCGATTCAAATCACTTGTTCCACGATTGCAGCTTGAACATGTGGAAACGATTTGAAAAAACGTGCCTCTTTGGGAGAGTCTCTCACACGTGCTTCTGTGCTGCAAGAGGCGTAGGAGGATGGTCCATTCATCTTTCTGGTTTGCACATGTCGTTATTCTCATTCTTGAACCCGTTTTCTTCGTACCGTCTGATCGCTACTCATCTTCTTCTTGCTGCTCTCTTGTGCTTGCAGTCTTCCTGTGACGCCAGCTCGTCAGCAAGGTTGCCTCATCGACACTGGTCAACATCTCCAAGAGGCTTCACATGTAAATTTTAGCAACCTCAAGAGCCCCTCCTTCTGTGGAAGGCTGAAGATGAGGGCTTTCTGTTCTAGTTGGGTTTGGGCTTCCTTCCTATGATCTGTATCATGGGTACCCGTAGTAACAAACCAAACTTACTAAAGCCCCTCTAGGCTACGAAGACTCAAAGCCAAGCTTGAGCACCAGAGCCTGAGCCCGACCGTCCTAGAGCCTGAAAGGCGGTTCAGTCCTGATGACAACCAGAAGCCAAACAACCCACACCCTAAATCATTAGGGTTTAGGGTTTAGTTTAGGGTTTATGGTTTAGGGTTCGGGTAAATCTAAGACCAGATATGAAACCTCTGTACACCACAACTTCTACACGACATTTACACCCTAAGCCCCAAACCCAAAAGAATCTACGTCAGAAGCACCACAATGCCTCTACCGCGATTCTTCTTGCAACCCTTTGAGTAGTAACCCTTAGAATCTTACCCGAACGCGGAAGAAAAACCCTGAACCCTAAACCAACAACCCAAAACCCTAAACCCAAAACCCTAAACCCCGAAACCAAAAAAACCCAAACCCTAAACTCAAAACCCTAACCCCAAAAGCCTAAAGTGCAATCTGGCCTGACAGCCGCGGCTGGGCCTGGTGAAGTGCGCTGAGCTGCCCTCCTGAAAGGCTCCGGGGCTTTCCAGTGTGGGACTGTGGGTTTCCTTTAGGGCTCCTTAAAGGGGAGGGTTTCGGGTTTATAAGGGTTTAGGGATAAGGCTTTAGGGTGTAGGGTTTAGGGTTTGTAAGGGTTTAGGGTGTAGGGTTCAGGGTGTAGGGTTTATAAGGGTTCAGGATGTAGGGTTTAGGGTTGAGGACTACAGGAATGCTTACCTAAAAGGCGCTAAAGACCTGCATGGGGGATACTTGCCCAAACCATACGAGCAATTCCCAATATAAAAACCCTACATTCTACTATCTAGGTACTTTGGACCGTTTGGGTTACTACATTTGCTTTAGTGCCTAGTGGTTTACGGTTGGGGGTTTTCTGGGGACTTTCTGGTGGCTTTTGGGTGTAGGTTTTGGGGTCTAGGATCGGTAGTTTTAAATGAGGTTATAAGTAGGGTAACCGTCCTTCTAACCGGTTTGGGGTTTAGGGTGTAGGGTTTTCGGTTTAGCCCCTATTATAGGGGACTTCTAACCCACTTAGAACTACCCAAACCTCCAAGCAGGGCCTAAGCCCCAGTCTAACCGTGAAGGCCCCTGCATCAGGCCAGGTGAGCTGCAGAATTTGGGTCAAAGTCTCTAGCTTCCGGCTTTCGGTTCAAGGCCTGGCCTAATTCCTAAACCCTAAACCCTACACCCTAAACCCTAAACCCTAAACCCTAAACCCCAAACCCTAAACCCTACACCCCTTTAATAGGAGCCCTTAGGGCCTTGCAACATCTGGGTCCTCAGAGCCGGGTGAAAGAAACCCTCGAAGCCACTCCGGGAGCCGAGCTCCGAAGCGGAACCTCTCATCAGAGCTTAGGGTATAGGGACTATAGGGTTTA